TTACTATCTCACTTCTCCACAACATTTCGCATGACAGCAAATTCGCGCATCAGGACATTCTCGTAGTTGCACCTAAAGTCACCTTGTTAACCCCAAAGTTCAAAAAACTCTCACCTTGATATCGCTAAGGAAGAACGTAGAATAAGGATAGTTTATAGTTTTCAGGCGAAAACCAATGTACTTGAATTGTCATTTACAGCTTGGACTCGTGAAGTTCGAAGCACAACGTCGAAACTCACTAAGTACATCATTTATCAAACCTCTGAATCACTAATAAAAGGAACAAGAGTAAGATTTAAATTCTTCTTAATCAGTCACATTTGTTATCGCAAATAGTCTGTCTGGTCATGAGCCTCAAAAACAGTCTTCAATGCTTTGATGAAATCGGTCCACCACATTCAGTTTGTAGTTTGGCACTACAACCTTGAGGCAAGTATTAATGCAATTATTATTCGGTAATGAATGTAATTTATTACTGCCTAGCAGCGACTTTTTACTAGCTCATTTGCATTCTGCGAATAAAAAAGAATTTCGACTTTTAATTCCTTTACAGTCTGTAAGCACACCCCAAACGCTCGAATTCGAGACCCTAATAGAATTCGTCAAATTCCTTGATAGACAAATGACGAACAATTATCCAGATAAAGTCTGGCATGCTGTTTACCATCTAACCCTGTCTGAGTCGGCTTTTTATCCGGCAAATGCCATGGTTGGTAGACTATGTTTCTTGGCGTGTTACAAAAAAACGTTGGAAGCATTTACACTGACATATCGGCTTTGTGTATGAATCCAAATTGTATTCCATGACGACTATAAAAATAAGTAAGCATTAGTCGAGTTCATTTAGGATGACTAATCGAGATAATTTTAAAAGAAATTTATTAGACAATTTGGTGATTCTATAAGGGTGATATAACAAACGGGCAACTACAACAGATGCTTTATCACCAAAAAAATGAGTGGCATACCTTGTCATCTATTCAAACGTATTAATATACGTGGGAGGTAGAGTAGAATGAGGCGTCCTTATCAACAAGTTGATGAAATGCTGAATGGATTACCGGTGACCTATTTACTTCTTCATTACTAGGCATACCATCTTCTTTACCCCGAAATTTACTTGACCCCCATTAGGCATTCAGAGCAATGAGTAAATTTAGTTAGCGAGCGGATGATCTGCGGTAATACCAGATTATGGTGTATTAAGCCGACTTTATTAACTTCACGCAACACTTTCTAATAAAAACGCCGAGAAAACCCGCATTGTGCTTACGCCGATAACCTCACTTTTTACAAATCTGATGTAACCAAATGCTACTGACATTGTAGTAGGTAAGCATTTGGATCGTTGCAAAACTCAAAAATAAATCATTCCTTTCAAATTATTGCTGCTTGAAATTAGCACACAGGATTTCAGAAAAATGTTGAGTAGCAGTTCTAGTCTTCCATCAGAGCAGGAAGCTCGTCTATCGGCTGGAGTCGCTGCTGCACCTGTGATTTCGAGTTTGCTGTTGCTGAAATAATTCTGCTGTGAAGCATGCTTGATCGGTCTACATAATTGGATAGCTGCTAACCATTTTGCATGAATTCATTACTGAGTACAGCGCTAAGACGGATCTGTCATTCTTTGAATAGACATTACTTTGAAAATTAGTGTGTACCACTTGAATTATTAATCACTTGTTAATATTAAATGCTGACGCGTGACACTATCAAAAAGTGGAGACGCATGGCGTCTCGCTCATCACAACCCAAATTAGTCATCAACGGTCGACGGTAACTTTGGGTACTTTGTATTCTCATTTCCGAAATCGGATATGCAAATGGCAAACTAAGCGAGGCGTTGTGCATCACTAAATCACGCAGCCAGTACGGAAGCACTTACAAAAGCACAGCAAGCAAGTCTCCCCCATGATCGAGGACTGGTTCAACGAGATTAGTGAAGTTAATTTAGTTAACGTGCTAACTCTAAACCTCTTAATCGTTCTGTCTTATGACCTTCAGCCTCTTGAGATTTCTACGAGTTAACGAGAGTGTGCCGTTGATAATTAAGAAAGTGATGTGAAAAATTAATACGTTTGAGGAAATTTTAGATGGTTTGAAATTTTGTTTGCACGTTGCATGGGTTTCGGAGACGATCAAGCATTTCCTCACACGAATAACTCGTTCGAACCGTCTGAGTCACTTCTGTCCCGGCGCTGTTAGCCAATGAGTACTGCCAACAGGTCGTTTTTGTATGGTGATTGATAAAATTAAATTAATTCACTAATGTCAGCTTATAAAATTCTCTCTAAATCCATACGTTGTTGTCTATACGTAACACCAAACTTGCCGTCAAAATGGCTAGTTTGAGTAATATTTACTAATCAAGCTTATACCAGTCATCAGACCAAATTTATGCAAATGTGCTGGGGAAGGGAAGCTAGAACTATCAGATAAGCAGGATATTTCTCAGTAAATGCGTGCTTAAGGAGCATTTTCCTCAAATTACTTGGAAGCAATTTTACGATCCAAACAGCTGCAAACCGGAGGGCTCCTCTCCAACTTCCAAGTTAGCCCTCACATTTTCACTCACCTTTCCCCTCGTTGTTCGAGGCACTGCCTTGAAAGTGCGCCCTCATAATTTCGCACGGCCCTTTTGCACCATGGTGAGGTCATGCTGATTATGTGAAAACGAGGTCACCGAAGTTCAGTTGTGGGTGAAAATTACCATAACACAACAGCCCAGGCCATTGTCGCTTAATCATTCACACAGTGTTGAATAAATGGTGTCTAAGCGATTAAGTGCCATTTGTGTTAATTTAGTGAGGTCGAGAACTGCTTATTTCAATGCTATTACGTTTGTCGCCAGCAGTTTGTAAGATAAGATGCCTCAAATCCATTAAATTGGACCATTCAGGTCAGCTGCAGTTTATGGGCATTAGATCGTCTTTTCGTTCGGAATGACATCCAGAGAAAAGTTCGGGTGGTTTTTACAATGCTGTTCTGTGTAGTAAACCAACATCACATAAATTTTATTTTTGTAACTTTGACACCCACAACGGACACACCATTAGATGCAAAGCCCAGTTCAACTAGAGAGACGTAGTCAGATTAACATTGATATAATTTTACATGAAAATTTGAGTCAAAAGGCGTATTTTTAACCGAATAATCCCACTTGGTGTTCAGTGAATTTAATTCTGTAATTCCTGAGAATCTGTCCAAATTTTAGACGCATAAAACTGGGTTCAGCAAATAGGCTTTACTTATCCCGACTCGAATTAGAACTTCCTGTTGAATAATTAGACGTACACCATCGCTCTCTAAGTTTGGGAGCCGTGTGGTTTTCGGAAAGCGAAATCATTGTCTTCATTTGTAAAACTTGGCGCTTGTCAAACACGTACACGCGACATGGAAGACTGCCTGAGGATGGAAATGCCCACTGACCTAGTGAAAACTGGGGTTACGCTCTTCCTAAAAGCATCCAAGATTCCTCCGGATACTGAACTCAACACTTAAAATTGAAATTTGTGGCACCACCATCCAGAAAACGAAAAGTTTTAATTCCGATTCGCTGAAGGAAGCCTCACCGAAAAACGGGCTATCACAACACCGCGCGAAATGCCAAGTGGCAATGTCCAGTCGTGTTAAAGGTCTGCTGTGAGTCACATAACCGATTGCTACCAGGGTTGATGCTTAGTTCGTTGATTAAAATTTTGTCCTAACGTTGGATTCATGTGGATTTTCAAACATCCAGACTGTTATATTTCAAGGAGTACCTCAGTCATAGAGTATACATTTATACAATTGTTTACCCCATTTCAAAATAGTGAAAAGAAACAGTTAAAAATGCGAAGAGTCAATCTTAATATGTCCACACTAACAGGCTACCTCCGTCGAAAGCGCCACCTCTGACTTCAAAACATCTAACTAACGTCTAACGTGAATCAACAGTAAATTCCGTAGTGTCATCGGCAGTTTATTCTCATACCTAAAATGCTACTTTCTGACGCCTAAGTTCTTGTGATGCTTGTGGTGTCTTTGTCCCTTTGGAACTAACAAAAGGCAACAACGTTGTTTGCTCTTGAAAGGTAAGCTAAGCACTTCTAGAATGACCAGTTCTGAGGCAAATAATTCAACTGACCAACTTCTCCTGCATTTTGGTGGGATTTTACTACCACTTCATTCAACAGTAAAAGGAGGAGTATTGAGCAATTGCCTAATACTCTATAACACGCACTCTCTGAAGTGGATGTGCCATGGATACGAAAACGTGTAACTCGCCGCTCAGGCTTGGGAAGCGTCCACACGCCGCATAGAGGACGGCCACCGGTCTCCTCTAGGTGACGCCTCCCGGCGCCAATTCAGACGTCAGATGTGCTGATGAGACAAAACTGTACATGCTAGGCCAAGTCGCGAATAACTGATTTATTGAAATTTCTATTCAAAAAACCACACCAGCTATAAACACCCGCAATTATTTAAGTCTCAAGAAGAGTTAATCCTGTCCTTCGGAACATTAATTTAGACCAAGGTAACTGCGGTTCACTAACTTGTCAAGATCAGGATGTTATCTTGTTTGTTATCGACTTTGTGCCAACTTAGTGGATGCATTTGGCGTTTCCCAAAATCCAAGAGTCTCCAGACTTATAACGCCCTGATCATTAGACAAGACACGGTTTTGACCCACGCATTGGGTAAAACAAAGGAGAGGAGTACAATATTTGTAGGATGCTCACGTTTCACTCAAAATCCGAGACAAAAGAAATCCGTCTTCTGCAACTACTCTTAATTATGGGAATGACAGTTTTCCCACGACTTCTTTCTTCACGCGGCAGTTATGAATGGGGATAGGCTAAATCGTACCAGACAATTACCACTCTCATCTGTGGTAAGCGTGATTCATCGCAGCACTCCGGTACTTAACCTCGCACAAAGTATTCAAAGGGTCCTGCGTTAAACACCAATGAAGTAAAGTATTCAGGACTTAAAAATATTTGTATAAAAGTGAACTAGAAATGCAGACTCCACCCAATATGGCCTTCAGGGATAAAAAACCAAAACAAAAGCAGCACACAGTGCTCCTTAATTATTTCTACGCAACACCGGACAGCTTGGCCGGCATGGATACCCAAAAGCCCGTGAGGCACACCTTATAAGCCCAAGGACCCTATTTTTGAGGCGATTGAGAGACACAACATTTGCAACAACGTACAACTGATTTTTGGTGTAACGTGAAACAGCTGTATTTCTACATTTATTTATCATAATTCGACTCATCCGTTCTTTCAGCTCTCATAAATTACCTACGAAATTTTCAACATTTTAGATGAACAAAATTAATACTTGCTTGCTTTAGCAGTAAATTCTGGTGGCAAAAGTCAGTGCCTTGTCTCCACCACACGAGATTTTTTCCATGCGAAGGCTTATCCCGTGCGCCCCCAGTCTAGTGGGTTTTTTAGATAGCCTTTCAAGGTCAGAATGGTGGTTCACACATGCTTGAGATTTCTCACACGGGTCAGCCCTCCTTGCGAGATCGGATTAAGGACTGTCAAAACCCTTTACTCGGTCATTGTCTGCCGATTTTTCGCTCACTTGGTCAGCCTATGTGGCATTACTGTCGTCACCAACAGATGCAACGTATTTCCAATCGTGGGGCACGAGTTTTTTGCAGCGTTTAGTAGGTCATCGCATTCACACTAGACTCCCCTGAACAACGTAATTGCCACACTCTCTCTGAGCACTTTTAAGCACTGGTGCAGAAAAATTGTGAAGACAAGTACAATTACACAACGCGTTAGCTGATGACGTACTTTGGGTTAATTCAGGTGGTTAATAGGGTGTGCATTTTTATTGTCATAGCTTTTGTTGCCGAAAGAGAATTTGCATTCGACAGGTAACAATTTAGCATCTTGGTTTTGTTTGTATTGATTTGGGTGTTCTGGAAAAGTCAGAGCATCGTCAACACGTGTAGACCTTCTAGCTTCTAAAATGTTTTGGATGACGTTAGTGTTAGTCTAGACTCTATTAGAGTCTGCTTGGCACAAAACACGAAAGCAAAAGATTGTTCTGGAACCTCAAAGTCATAATCGGTTTGTAAAATCCGTGTGGTTGTTAATCAATTTTATGATCTAAGTAGAAGAGGGAGATGCATTGGTAGTGTTTAAATCTCCAGGCGCATGGGTAGCTTTCATAAGATTCTTCCCTGTTTACTTGAATGGATAATGGCGAAACAGCTACCTCAAATAAATGAAAGAGGCTTTGCATCCACTTCACTACGTAAACATGGATTCACCTCTGAGGCCCATGTGATGGTGATTAATTAGGAAGAGAACACAACCGACAGGGGAGCTGATTGGTTATTCAAACACATAGCGATAAACCACCGAAAATTCGATGCAAACACGGCGACACCCCCTTCAACAGGAGTCAACGTTTAATAGGAATATTAAGTTGGACAAACTAGTGGGCATCTTTTTTGAAGAGTTATTCCCTAAATGCGGTGATATATAAAGGATTTGCAACCTGAGCCAGGTTCAATGTGAGTAGTTAGTTGATGAGATTATGGGGTGCTGAAATTCATTCATTCAATGAAACTATTATTGCAGCTGTTCGTGTCTAGGAATAACAGAAATCCCGTGTCTGGCGTAAGGAAGCGACCTTATGCAATCGTATATTCACGCAGTCACAGAGAGCGAATGGCTGAGCATCCAAGCCTGCTTAAGCCATTTTTGGCATTTTCAATACCCACTAGATCGGCCACAAATTGGTTGCCATTCTTGTTAGATACAATTAGTGGAATATAAGTTACGTTCTCAAATAACTATCTAGCCTATGCATTTAAAAACTTTCAAAGAGATTTTGGATAAAAAAGGTTTGATTAACAACAGGATAATTTGTAAAATCATTTATTGTGGCGGAGTGAGTGAACATTCCAAATGTCTGGTATTTAGTAAGCTAAAGAGCATCCACACCTACAGCTGTATCCCTTGAGTTCGCCTAAAAATTGGATACTTCCAACACTTTCCATTTCCTCACTTACACTAATAAAACCAACCAATTTTTACTCCCAACAACTGACGCTCGTCTTCTCAAGTTAAAGGGTAGCAAACACTATGTAGTTTATCTATGCATTACCGCTAGCAGCCAAAGGTTGGATATCAACATTAGGTCAAATCAAAATCGCCAACTTTCATATTTTCCAAAAGTAACAAGTCTGCGATACACGTTTCACAAATCCCGCTGGTTAAAAAGTGTTTTTATTGTCTAGGCTGAGGGCAAGGGCGGTGACTCGAGCCTTTCATCTCTCTGCGATGACTCATTTGCCTCAATTTCACACTCAACGGTGGCGAGTCATCCGCCGCTGGCGTTGCCTCAACTACTCTCGTGCATGTTCGCGAGCGCCGACTTTCAACTAAGCCGCGATCGACCCTTCAATTGCTCTTTCGGTTCGCGTCGCCTAACCCTGCAACCGTCATAACGACAAACGAATCAGGATCCGTTCACGCGGGTTGAGGGCATTTTTTCTGCGGGAATCGAATTCCAAACCTTTGGTGACTCACCGGGCGGAAGCAGGATCACTTATTGGCAAAATTGTTGGCAATCGACGATCTCACTCGATCACCCAGTGAGTGCTATCCTCAAGCACTGAATGAACTGGCCTAAGGTTCCACTATTCGACTCATACTCATCGTCGCATGCGGTGATGCATATTCATTAAACTGAACATTGGCTGCGATACGCAAATAATTATTGCATGCAACCGAACCAGACAAAAATGAGTTTGACAGATTAACTAACGTACTTGTTTTTTTTTCACAAATCAATGAGTTATGCAGGACGTAAGTGATTGGCTGCCAAACGGAAATTGTCATTAGTGTCCAAAAACTACTTTTCAATTTATGTAAATTTAATAAAGCTCTGACGAGAGGAAGTAGGGTTGTTAGGCTAAGGTGTGACAGCGTGATTATACTATTTAATAGTTAAACAACTCAGTCGGGTTATGTTTTTGAAATGGAATTGTTTTATCTTTGATGAACAGTCACGACCGGTGGCCTGGTCAAATAAACAAAACTTAGGATGCAAGAGCCATTAAATTTGATTTGTACAAGTAGGCAAGATAGTCATTGGAACCAAAATAACAGACCTAAAGATTGGATTAGCTCCGAACCTCAGAGCAGCAACTGAGGTTCTGCAGCTAAGCAGAATAATTGTAGAAATTGAGCAGGCATAAGTAATAACGAGTTTTGATGGTCAGTTTGCTGAAAGGCCTGAAAAAATCACCAAACCACCTCAAATTATTAGCCAAATATTAATTCATTAGTCTTAGCATTTTATCGACGGATATGCAAAGAAATTCGCCACACTTTAAAATGGTGGCATCAGTTTTGTTATGGGACAGTAGCGAACACCTTTCGAAAAGGGCAGACGATGGGTATTCGAATGCGGTTTTTGGAATGATTGAAGGAGCCATTTAGCTTCTTCTTCAATAAACTTACAAATAGTTTAGACACAAGGCTGCCATAATTATTTAATTCCGTTTGTGATAACGAAGCCTAAGATTAAAAACTCTACGAAAGGAAGAGAAAATGGCCACAGCCTAGACTGCATGCAACCACCCATGATGCCCAAATGTTGTACAACAGTCCATTTGGTATCTTATACAGAGCATCAGTTTGGCAAAGCCTATAGCTAACATGATTCCACTCAGATAAATCAAGCATTTATTTGGTGAGTTGTGTTGCGCTTTTTAGACGGAACTCTCCGCAAAAGTCCCGGTTTCACATTGGGTTTGCGTGTCAAATTATGAAATGTGTACGCCTTTGCCGCCTACGTGCGCACCAACTTGGCGATTGAAGCACCGCACCGCACTTGTATATCAAGCGAGCTAGTAATCCAAAACTGCTGATGACATGATTTTCCTCACTCCGGAAGCTGGTAATCAAGCAAAAGTGCTCAGAAGTGAAAACAATGTCAAAGCTGTCTTATAATTTTGGAATCCTCGGCTTTGTTTACGAGATCAGAACGACGCGAACCTCTGCGTGGAGTCAAATTCTGTACAACGCACATATTACTGTTGAGGTCTGTCAAACCTTCTGACGCTGACATCGGACCCCTCCCTTGAATGCAAAAATGTTCATAAAGACAATCCATTCCTGCCTCATGCTTAGCCAAAATCGTTTACTTAAGATAGGTAGGATAGAACACCACCTTGCCTTTATTTGTATTGTCTTGTCAAAGTCCAACACACGCACACGCACATACCGATAATCCGGTGTCTTGACAATTGAAGTTCAATCATTTCCACGGAACCACACCCCGTACCGAAGGCATAAACTGCACACAATAAATGTGCTTTATGACGAAAACGTAACGGGAGCTAAACTACGAATTGGATCATCAGAATCACCTCATTTTTGTTTTCAGGAGGAAATTTTGTGAAGATAAACGTTAAATACGTCTTCCTCTAGTTGCAAAATTGTCCACAAAATTCCTTTCGAGTCCGAATCTGGCCTATTAAAGGCGCCTCGATAAGACTCCACATGTTGAAGCATACTGCCGTGGTGTGTTCAGAGCGTCTAGTACACAATCCCAACGCTTAAGCCTCGACCAGAAATCAGATTCAACGAAATAAAGGTGATGTGTGAATCGACATGGATCAACAACATTGCGTATTGCTAGATTTTAAATAGAAGTAGGTTTTTTTGTTAATCACAAGCATCGACGGCAAATAAAAACTAATTCATGACTTTGGCATTACCCTCCTCGTTTAATTTTCGAGTCTTAGGCCTAAATATCCTTCATGACGTGTTGATGTAATTAAGCGGCACTTTAGTATCTTGGCACATGCTTCAATGTTTTCATGCCTGCCCGCTTGTTCTCCAGATTTAAATGCCTGGATTTCTTGGGTGTTATTTAGGCGATACGGTAAACTATGCCACTGTGTTCAGGGTTAGTCCACAAAACCCATTAGTCGATTAGAAACAAAAAAAGCCTTGGATGGGACGTCAATTGCCGTCTTCTGTGAAGATTGTTTGTTTCTAAGAATGGAAGCTCAGACACATATTAGCCTAGAAAAGCATCGCCTAGACACAAAAAGTTTACTCTATGGTTTATCTTGGTTGATAGATTTTAACCCACCCACGATAAGTTTCTTGATGATAGTGCCAGAAATTTAATGTGTGTGACGTCAAAAGAGGCCAGATTGGCCTTCTTCGTTTTACTTATAGTTGCCATGGCGAAAAACATGCATAATCAGGGCGTTTGTGAGAATTTTTTGAAGAGGTCCATGAACTCGAAGCAATAATCACAATATTTGTTAACAAAGCAGCATGTGGGGCAAGGATAACAGCCTCTCAGTCGGTAAAGCCAACTAGTGATTGACAAGGCAAATTAGGACAAGCTTAAATAGAAAAGGTTTTCTGCCTAGAGAAGATTATGCATCAGTCTAGTGACCGAAGGAATTGAAAGCGGATCGATGGTGTTGAAGTCATTTACAGAGATACACCATGACGCTTTAATTGTATGACAGCACACATATTTCAACAATAAAAGAGATTGAATGACACAGTACGCTAAAGAGCGTAAACCCTCATTCTTGCATTGGAAAATTAACATATCCCTATGTTAAACATCACCAAAGGCTAATTAAAACTCTCATGCAGTTGCACCAAACAATGTGATTCTGAGTTACCGAAACTCGGAGTTTGAAAAGTGAACGCGCATTTAATGCCCCAAGCCAGTCATTTTGATCGCCATAGCAAAAAACCACACTCAAAATACAAAGATTACAGTTGGATTAAAAATTAACCCGCATAATGTTGAAACTTGACTTAAGTTTTGAGGGACCAGATGACGACTTGATCTAAACAACTGCTGAGATTTTGGCGGTAACACACCCAGGAATGTTTAGGACGCATGTATGGCATGTTTATTTACTAAAAAGTTAGTTGAAATTTTGTACAAAGAATGGAGTCTAAGTAGAGTTGCACAATTTAAACTTTCCGAAACGTTTGTGTGGCAGTTTCTTTAAGGCATGGATCCACATTAACATAAAAAAAGCCTACGGAGATGCCTGTGCTACAGGGTGGTTAAGACTCAATGACGAAGACGGATGTTAGCTAGCTGTAATTTGTGTCCTTGTGCCTACGAGGTTGGGACGAATCCAATCATTGTCATTTTTTGAGTCGTAGAGGTCCCATATCACAACTCAGAATTACTTTAAACAGACAAATACTCATTGGCGTGGATTCACATCAACCTTACGATTAACTGTGTGAAGTTTCAAAGGCAGAGGCAAAAGAATCAGCGGCGGAGAGAAAACGCGTTGTGAACGGGAGGCAGTCGGAAATGTATAGAAATCATCAATCTCACCTTGAGGCAAAATAGTGCTGAATATTTTGAGCAAACTTCAGAAGGGGCTCTGGGTGGTTTTGCACAGGCCTGCCAAGCGAATTAGAAACCATTACAAAGCAGGATTTACACAGGGCATAAATCAAACTACAGGCTACAACCGCTATCCCTTCCAAACACATCAACTAGGTCTGTGGGTCAGGACAGGCTAGCCCCTTGTACTGGCACTGCCCTCCTCTCCATCTTTAATTAAACTTCTTTATGTACGCAGCATGATGGTCAAGCTACTGCAGCCAATTGTGAGTTCATGTGATGTGGTGGATCATATGACAGCGTTCGTTTACATCAAATAACTCTTGGGGTACATCAACACAAGAAAAGCCGTCGAAAAAAGACGCCAACCTATGAAATAGAAGTTGAGGGTAAGAGATTTGAAAAAAGAAGTATATTAGCAACTAACTGGAAAAAGGGAGTATTGAATGGTGCGAAAATTGAGTTGCATTTTTGGATAAGGATCTTCGGGGTGTTGACAAAAAAACCTAGACAATAGATTAATTTAGATAGCGTTTCACTATTCAGGCCGCTCTAAAGTGCGTCAGCATCACAATCGTTTACCTCACACAAATGGTCTGGCGCGTGAATTGCACAAGCGGAGTGTCAAATGCCTTTTCACTTTGGTGCAACAGATTGTGCTGCGGCCACTGGCTACGGCGCTTATGAAAGATCTCAAAGGTTACCCAGTCTGGCAAGTTAGTAAAAAGATAATCCCACTTATTGAAGTCCTTAATAGAAGTTGATTTAGGGTAGAAACAATTAGGCACAGAGCACTTCTATCTGACGGTGTTATTTATGCGTGTGTGCCGACGTGACTATGTCAGCATTTTTTCGGCAATAAAATTCGCTCGGGTTTTTTGTGACTTAGCTGAAAAGCGTGGCACCACGCATTCGGATTGCCGGAGACCAACGCTATTCGATATGGCGGTTAGATCAAGGGCAATTCCTGAATTTAAATCACTGCAAACAACAGACTCAAACATATTGCACATGGAATATCAAAAAGCCACAGCAAAGATCAAATCCAAATCAATGAAATCTGAAAAACCTAAATTAAGGCAAAGGCCTTCACAA